TACGGCAAAATAGTGGCATAGTATGGCAAAGTAGTGGCATAATACGGCAAAATAGTGGCATAGTACGGCAAAATAGGGCAAAGTAAGTGGCGAAGTATTGCAAAGTAGTGACAAAGTACAACAAAGTACTGGCAAGGTACTGCAAAGTAGTGGCAGTGTACTGACAAGTAGTTGCAAGGTATGGCAAAGTATGGCAAAGTAAGGCAAAAGTAGTGGCAAGGTACTGCAAAGTAGTGACAAATTAAGGCTAATAAGTGGCAAAGTAGTGGCAAAGTAGTGGCAAAGTAAGGCAAAGTATGGCAAGGTACTGCAAAGTAGTGACAAATTAAGGCTAAGTAGTGGCAAAGTGTGGCAAAGTACGGCAAAGTATTGGCAAAGTACGGCAAAGTAGTAGCAAAGTATGGCAAAGTAGTGTCAATGTACTGCAAAGTAGTTGCAAAGTATGGCAAAGTAGTGGCAAAGTACGGCAAAGTAGTTGCAAAGTACTGCAAAGTCGTGGTAAAATAGTTGCAAAGTACGGCAAGGTACAGCAAAGTAGTGGCAACGTAGGGCAACGTCTACCAACTTTGCCTAGCTTTGCACTCTGTTTTAACAGCTTGGGCCATTATGCAACGACTGCAGAAACTATTTGTTTATTGAAAATTCATGCAATTTTTAAAATGTTTCATAAACTTCAAAAATCTAAAGAATCAAAATGACTTTCTCCTATAAATGGTTGACATCACAGCAATAAAAGAATACACAAAAAATGCTTTATGCCTTTTTCTTGGGTGTGCCAAAACCAAAAAAAAAAAATCTTTTTCCAGCTGGTTTGCTCAGATTGTCTCCCATGCAAGTACTAGCCATGCTCGATTGATCTTAACTTTTTTTAGGGACTGATCAACTGACCACTGAGCTATGATGTTCGTTTAAATTTCATTCCAATTGGGGCCATTTAATGTTTAGAAATATTTCAAAATTGCTTTCGTTTCCACTTGTGTCTGTCGTCAGTTGACCTATCGATCTCTACATAACTACGATAATGAAACGGCTATTTACGGCATATTTATTCACTTTTGCGAATTTTTAACCATGGGTCTCAATAGTATGACAACACAGGCATATAAATAAACTAACTATCTAGGATCTTTATTTGTTCCAAGTAATCCAGAGTAGAACGGAATGAAACGAATCAACGCTATCGTCCGTTATCATTATTTTAATATTGGATGCAACCATTATTTTATGGGAGACCATGGGTCATAACTTGAGTGGAGTTAACACCCATCAATTTAAAAATGTATTGATCAATAAGAGTCCAAGTTACAGGGAAACATTATTTTGATTTTTCAGTGGACCAATAAATGCATTTGACAAGGAAATATAAAAACAGATTGCTGCATTATAAGTATCACTTCCTTTTCAAATTAGTAGTTCATGCTTATTTGAATCTGAACATAACAGGCCAATTCCATCACACCTTGCTAGGCTCAAACTTCCATCAAATAAGTGCATTCCAAATAAAGATAATTCTCCACAAATATTAGAGGGCGCTGACTAAAAAATTGCCATAATTTACGTTAAAAGAACTGATATATATATAGATCAAAGCCAGTGAACTACACCATGGTCTTTTGGTCCTGGGTGGTTGGTGTACCGAAAAGAGAATGTTGTGTTCATCTTGTATACATTAAGATTTAATAGGGCCATTAAGTGTCAAGAAGCAGTCTCTCAATCTGAAAGTTAAATGAGGGTTTTGAAAGATTAAATAAGGACACACAAGTGTCAATGATTAAGTATAATATAGTACAAAACCAGCCTTATTACTTCAGCCTGTTAATTCACACTTAGTGTTCATGATTGATTGAACACTCTACTTTCAAAGTTAAATATAGCAGCAAGCAGCAATGTGGAAGTTTTCAAACTATATAATTATGTTATATAAATATACATTAACACTCCTACAAAGAATTGACAGGTTTATTTCGTTTGAAATGTATACTCTTTAAGCAATCTGACTCGCAGTATAGAAGATGAAATTGAAGCAACAAAAATTAATAAATATTACATATAGTTCAACTGTACCATTTTTATTTCAATTGATTAAATCCAATCAGTGTTTGCATCACACTGGTACTGGAATTTCGCTTGAACCTTGATAAAGCATCAGCTGTTCAATAAAAGTGCGTTCTGTCCACCTAATTAACCTTTTCATCACCACCTCTCTCTTTTCATCACAGGATAGTCTCCTTTATAGTCTGCAATTTCCTTCAGAAAATTGGGACAAAAATAGCCAAAATTTTTGAGTAAAAACTGAAAATTGATTCAAAATGTGTCCAAAATTAAACTAAATTGAAGAATATAAGAAAAAAAAAGTGGAAAAATATGGGCGAGAAAGTATGGTGGTTAAAAGGTTATGGAAAATGGCTGAAGGGTATACAAATTGGAATACAGTTCTTGAGTTCAAGTGTAACAAATGGGATGTGAAATCTAACATATGGGAGGGTCATGCAGATGGCGAAAATGACTGTTCCCACAAAATGTACATTCAGATAAACTGTTGAAAAAAAACCAGCACCAGTTTTTAATGCATATGTTATTTGTCTTTGAAATAAAGCATTTAACATTAAATAAGTATACTGTAAAAAGGTTAAAGGGTCATGGCACTGCACTGTTGGCATATTTTTCAAGCCACTTAAACTTTGACAAAATAAACATGCACCAAATGAGTTAGCCGAGGAATTCAATTGCGCATTTAAGACTTTCAGTAAACTGTAGTCCAGTGTGTTCCCCATATCATAAAATGGGTTTTTGATTGGTTTAAATCACAGTTAAATCAAAATATAAATACACTCACCAACTGAACATTTTACCTTGTGTGTTTATTTATGTGATAATACTACACTGCATAAATCATTAAATTTTCATTAATTGATAATTTTAGGGCACTTTTCAGGGTTAATTATTACTGCCCAAAAATTTAACAATTTTCCAGACTTATGAGAGTATAGCAATTGACAGTAGACCAATCAGCAACTAATAGGAATATGGGGTATACCATTTTACTGAAAACATGGTGGTAGAAGAGCTACTGAAAAGGGGTGAAACAATTGAACAATTAGGGTTATATTTGAAATTTGTGATACTTTACTCTCTTTCAAGGGCAAGGCAGCGATCAGAAGATAATCACGCAAATTTTTAACAATTTAAAAGCCAAACATTTGTGTGCAACATTTTTAATTTTGGACCAAACGGAAACAATTACATTTATTTTGTGACAAAAATTGACACTGGCAATCAAAGAGTTATAGGTCAATAACCCCTTAACCTCTGAAAATGTACAAATTATAAAATAAAAATCTAAACTAAAAATCTATACCTTTGTATCACTTAGAAAAAAAGCTGTAGATAGCTTAAAACAAGTAATATTAGTGATTTCCAGTCACTACCAACTAGAAATTATTGCACATAAAAATTAACATGACATACCTGAACAATATTTTGTTGTAAAGAAATAATTCCAACAGTTCCAAGAAACAAAATGATAAAAAGTTAAAATAACACTGTTTAAATTCTGTATTTGTTTTTCTATAAAACAAAATTGTCAAGTTGAGTTCAATACGAGTCATATCTAGAATTTATAAGATGCGGGTATGTAAGTAAGTATCTCATGCCAATTATGACAAGACAAAAACCTACATCTCTAGGAATTCTTATGCAAATGAGCCAGCCCGTGAAAGAATCAGTTAAAGCCCTCACTTCTGTTCACGCAATTGAACTCTTCCAAACATCCACTGCATTCTGTGATGAAATTGGTTATTGCATGGAACTCACTGTAATGCGTCAAAGTTGAAAACAATCTTATGAATTCTTTGTCATATGCAAATTATACGTACGTAAAAAATATTGCTTATACACACAAAATCAGAACATGTACAATATGACGATTATGGTGATTTAAAGGATGGTAGTCGTCGTGCTGTGCATGTGTGACATTTGTGTTGATAAACATTGATTCTCCAACAATCCATGTGATCTTCTAATGGAAATCACAAGTATGAGGTTTGACCTAGGCGTGACTTGCACTAATTACCACCGGTGACCCTTTTGATACCTTCCAATCGCCTAAAAAATACCTAAATAAAGCTTGGTAACGGTCTCAGTTCGTACTTGTTGATCTGCGCAACAGTCAAAGTCGCCATCTTTGTTTATATGAGACCCATATATCTCGTGCATGTGTGGCGCGACAACCACCACCCTTTAATTGAACTACTAGAAAATATATTCAAATAATGGTCTCCAATGAAAAACCATCAACACAAGAAAACTTCAATATAGCGCCCTCAATTGGTGAAGCTTTCCTGCATTCTGAAATATTGATGTCCAAAAAACCAGTGCGAGTAAATGACATGCATAAACCAAATTTGCGTTTTTTTAAGGGACATCTATATACATATATGACTAATAATTATATGATACTAAACTGATGAGGAGCAAATCAAACAGGTGTTGTACCCCAATAATATCATAACTGAAAACAAAAACCTTCTCAGACTCCATACATGAAGCCATTAATTTTGTAACAATGGTGTCAATAAATTGAATATTATACTCTACATTTGTTTTACATAAAGGTACATCTCTAAATTTAGTTAATTTTAGAAAATATCTATTAAGGTATGTTAATCATCTAAATCTGGTGAAAAAATAGTAATTATATTAATATTGTGCTTTTATTTATATCCATGAGCATGCTCCATATACTAGTATAGCGATATTCTGCTTAAAACAGGTACATTTGTATCATGTGACTAGGAATTAACCAATTAAAGAAGTCTATTTTATTTCTCAAATTGAGATACACTTCTGTAATTATCTATAGTTTAATGTGAGGGTTATATTTAAAAAATAAATATTTACAAACAAAGACATTTTAAAATTATTGCAAAATTATTGCACTTGAAGCATAGAACAGTAGTAAATATTGTACTTGACTAAAATCAACTAAAATACACTACTTTATCACCAACTGTTTATTACAGATATTCAAATTTAATATGTAATCAGTTTCTTTGTGTTGCCATGCAACTCTTCTTCTGATTTTGTCGCAATTAACAATAAAGCAATATTCCAGAAAACAGAGTTGATTTAAATTTAAAGCCAATGGAATTCTTGCATTTTAAAAATTGCAACCATGTGGATCAACCATAAACTAAAAGTGATATATTTATATTTCACAAAATCATGAAGGATTTTGGCCCCAAGTATTTGATAAGCACCAGGATATACACTACAAAATTTGTTTAGAAAGTGTTTCACCAATTTAATTTTACAGACTGGTTCAACAATACTATCGTTGTTTCAGCACTCTAGTAAACTGCTGTACTCAATTAATTCATTCATTCAGCATTCCCTTGTTGCATTTCCTCTTTGATCACATCAAATTCATTGTTCCATTCCCCCGAATGGTCACACTAATAGGGAATTTGATTTTGATAATATTGGATCATGTCATAAGTTCGACTCCTAAAAAAAAAAAATATATATATATATATATATTGATACAGTTATATATGTACTACAAACATTTATTGTACAGTAGCTAAATTAGAAATCATATATATATATCTTTTTTGAAAGACAGACGCTAATATCTGAAAACTCTACAAAAAAGATAGCATTAACAAACTTGTGCTTAAAATTTACATAAAAATGCTTTACACACCCCTATGGGAGATGTGCTTCTGAATTTGCAAAATCTTTGAAAGGTAATATATTATACAACATAAATGGTTTTATGCTAGACAGACTGATGAATCAATATGCACAGTACAGCACAGACAGACAGACGGATAATAGACAGACTACACAATAAGAGATACTTTACCTCATGCTTAAATGTGAATCCCTGATGACTTTGATCATGAAGTTAGCAGCTTCCTTCTCACTCTGAGTCGGTGCAAACCGTTGCCTGTAACACAAATAATAGCATTCATTAATACCCATTAACAGAATCATTCCGTATTCTGATGAGGTAAGAAGCGGTTATCAACAAACTAATATAAATTGAGGAAACAATGACCGACTAGGCAGAAACTACATGCCATACAACTGCAGTTAATTTCAGGGTATGAAAAACTCAAAGGCACAGCTGTGCGATTCAGATGACACATCGTAATCTATCAACAGTTTCATTGTTACTTTGACATCTCCTGGAATAATCTGGGAAGACACCACCGAGTTGTGCAAGCTTGTGTAAAGAGAGATAAAAATAAAACCTTGCTGAGAAAATATTGTCAGGCTATCAGAATAGACGAATAAAAATCATTGTAACATATGTATTATAGAAAGAATATTCTCTAAACCCAGATCTGCATATTATGTTAACATCCATAGGAAATCTACTTCATGAGTTTGCACACAATGACTGGAGATCACAAATGTTGTCATGCTCATCACAAGGCTGAAATCAAAGAAAGCTTAGAAAGAACTCCTGTGTGCTGAGAGTATTGAAGACACATTAAAAACTAATTCAAAATTACTTGTACTTGAGATATTGATGGAATAGCTGAAAACTAATTATGTAAATCAGGTAACTGATATGAATGTATTTGAGTGTAAAACTAACAAGGCTTGCGTAATGTAATATCTATGTACCAAGTTTCATTGAAATGTGATTAGAACAAAAAAACTATGAATTATTATTAGAGAATTAATATGAACAAACTTCAACCCAAAATTCATCGGGCCTGTCTATTGGTCTACAGCATTTATGTACCAAATTTTATTCAAATGTGATGATCAGTAATTGAGATATCAGTGTTAATTAATTATTTTAATTAGGTGATTAATAAGCATAAAAATTTACCAAAAATAATTGGGTCTCTGCATAGTCCTAGGTTCATTGAAATGTGATGATGAATACTCTATAAAAGTTTCAATAAAATCCATTTAGTGGTTCTTTAGATATCAGTGGAACATTCATAGAAAAAAATTAACTAATTATGCAAATTAGGTAATTAATATCCACAATTATCTACCCTAAAACTAATCAGGTCTCTGCATAGTCTCTGCATCTATGCACCAAGTTTCTTCAATAATCAATGTATGGTTCTTGAGATATCAGTGGGACAGACACACACAGACGCACACACTAACTGCAAAGACTCCCTTTTTGTGTTTCGCACATGGAGTCAAAAATACTAGAACACTTCAATACCTAGAAACATGTTTTTCATGCATGTACATTTTTCAAAACAACTTTTCGGAAACGTATGAAAAAATCATAATTTATATGAAGAAACCAAACACAAAATTTTGGCTTATGCATGTGATAATTTTATTATTATCTAATATCTTTTTATTTTCCAACAACAACAGAAACAAATGTGATGATTAAATGTCCAAGTTGGAAAAGGATTGAATAAAAACATTTCAGTTATTGCAACCACAAACAATGTTAACAACTACAACGATGACGGCATAGGCAGAATACTTTCAACAATGGTACTATTATAATACCATTTCTTCAGCTGTATTTCATTGACATATAATATGACACTCAGACAGTATGCGGTCACGTCGACCTCCGCTGTGTGACAGTCAAAACTTTCGCTGTACTGTCTTCGTGCATACTTTGCAGTAACCCTCGTAATAACCTTATTATTATACATCTTTTCCTCACAGGAACACATCATGGAAATGCCGAAATCCAAAATATTCAGATTTAGTGAACTTCTTTGTGTGGGGTCTCCGTTCAAACCCTGGGGGGCAGCCATGTTTGTTTTTTATTATTATATTAAAAGTTTTAAAAAAAATAGATATTTGAGTACCGGTAAATGGAATCACAAGCTTTGTTATAACTACAACAACAACGATAACATAGACAGGAATTCATTCCACTCCTATACTTTCTTTTCTCATTTCATTACAGGCAAGACAATAAAAGCAAGAATCACCTTAATAGTTTGACGGTTTGACCCCGAAAACATGGAAGACCAGTGTCTAACATTAGTGATACTAAAGACACGATTGATTCTTGATAAGGCCTGCAAAAAATAATAACACATTATTTGCACTGCAATGAAAGCCCAATAAAGGATCATTGCAAAAATTACATTTACTGTGTGAAAAAAGGAAATATGAAATTTCAACTTTGATGTTTACTCTCCCTAAATTTGTATGCTGTTTGTATATATGAAAAAAATGTCATGCATGGTGTCACAGAGACCCTGTTTTAAGTGAGTGTCATTCAAAATTCAATTGCCCTCCCCCAACTAGATTCTCTAGGGACAACATGCCATGAAAGATACATTGGAAACTCCTTAACAAACAAATGTAATGTATACATGATTGAGAAACATGATATATTATGAGGTTATATAATGTAATATGGTAAAAGATATACAAAAACATTACAGTAATCATTATGGTCTGAGTGTATCAGTCAGTGACGTGAACCTGTACTGTCATAGTTTTAACATTATACAAGTTTTCTTGTCTGTAATCATCATTTCGTGGCTGATAATGACCAGCAAAATTTTACATTTTTTGTGCTGTCGGGGCTTTATGTGATCATCCTCTTTCAATGATGTCATTCTATTTTCGTCAATGCAAAGGTAAAAAAGAAAGGATGGCACCTGTAACACGTTTGAAAATATTCATCATTCAGGTTTTAATGGATGATATTGTATTCACTGCCTGTTGTAAAGTAGTACTTGTTACAAACCTGACAGCTAAGAATGCCTGTACACATAATTCCATGAACCATTTGAACGGTGGTGATTCCATCTTACCACCCATAATCATGACCATTTCCTCTGTCAACTTGATGTCCGGTTCCCATCCTAAATTACCACCAGGAGAACTCTCAAACATAAAACCAAAATCTAAACATAGAATAAACAAACTTCAGTAACAACTTCTCTGTGGTGAAGTTATCAGAGGCAAGGACTCAAAATATTCAAAACCAATATGTAAATCAGTCTATTAAAAAAACATACTGGGGAAAAATATGGTTCTGTCCTGTGTAATCGACCCAGGTTTAATACTTGTCCTT